CCCGGGGCTCGCACCCTGTTTTTTTACCCGGGGAAGTCACGGGGCTCAAACTGGGCCCTTGGCCCCAGGTTTATAACATCAGCGGCTCCCGCCTGATACTTCCTCCTCACAATTTATTCCCAAATCGCGCTCTCGCGCGTGATTGCCTCACAATTTGCATACGAATCGCGCTCTCGCGTGGGACTTCCGCGCAATTTATTCAGACGATGCGCCCTCGGCGCTCAGGAATCACGCTCTCGCTTTGGCTTTTCTCACTACTTACTTGGGAATCGCGCTATCGCTCGAGACTTCCTCGCGGTTCATGCAGGACCCACTCTTCAGCAACCCGCCTGCTCGACCTGGTCGCCTGGGCCCGCCTTCCCGACCTGCCCGCTATGGGTCTGCCCACCCGATCTGCCCGTCTGGTTCTACCATTTCTTTTCTGCTCCTTCCCCCCCTCCTGCTAACTTCTCTCGTGCTCCATTCTTCTCCCTCCCCCTTCACCCGTCCTCTCTTCCCTTGTATTAGGGGATGCACTGAATGCACGTGGCAGGTAAGGAAGATATACCCCCAAGGGGGTACGATCGAAGACGACGAGGGCGGGTACGGAGGGTTTGGGATATACGTTTTGATTGGCACGTGATCAGATAGGAGCGAACAGTCTTACAATGATTGTTGCTGTTGTTGTGGTGGTGGTGGTGGTTGTTGTTGTGGTTGTTGTTGTGGTTGTTGTTGTTGTTGTTGTTGTTGTTGTTGTTGTTGTTGTTGTTGTTGTTGTTACGGTTGCTGTTACTGTTGTTGTTGTTGTTGAACATTATTAATTCTAAAGAATAATTATTGTTGGGCCCCCTGGTGCGCGCCCCCCCTGCGCCGCCTAGGCCGCAGCTACATTTTCATCATTGTCGTGAGGAAGCCTCAGGTAATTCGAGGTGATCAAGATCCGGTTGTTTTGTTGTAATCCGCTTTCCCTTGCAAAAAACACTATAAAATGACATTTCTTGTTCTAATATAATCAAATTTCAAGAATCCCTTGCAAAAAATAAGGTAAAGTGGACATTCGCGCGCGCAAGACGAAATCCTTCCAAAAGCTTAGTGTTCGGAGCGATTTTAACATAAAAACATCAAAAAACCAATGGTTTTTCAACAAAAAAATGTCAAAATCTCATCCCGCGCGCTCTTGCGGATTCGTAGGAAAACCAACACTTTTTAAACATTTCTGTCAAACGGGCTTTTGCGAGCAACTTTTTCGAACTTCTGCGACAACGGTTGCGCACCTGCCAGGGCCATCACCCCTGTCAAATAATACCATGCGGGACACATTCGTTTTTTCTTCGCGCGCGCACGCCGAAATCTCCAAAAACCATTGGGTTCTTAAGTTCTGTGGGTGTGTACCCCACGCCAGTGTAGTAGCCACGGTCGTCCGCACGCCACGAAGTGAAGTGTCCCAACGTCATAGGGCGGGAAGCTGGGTTTGGGTGGTCGCGAAGAGTCGTTTGGATATTTGGTAGAGCTTGTAATGCCCCCCCACGAAGTGGGGGTATTGCCTGGTGTCGTATGAAAACCCTGGCACTGGGGAGAACACCACGCGTTGTTGTTGAACATTATTCCTTCTAAAGAATTATTATTGTTGGGACCCCTGGTGCGCGACCTCTGCGCCGCGCCTAGGCCGCAGCTACATTTTCATCATTTTTTCGCGAAAGCTTCAGAAAAGTGGATGAGCTCCGGATCCGGTTTTTTGTTGACGCTCGTTTTCCCTTGCAAAAAACAATAGAAAATGAAAATTCTTGTTTTTACTTGATCAAATTGCAAGAATCCCTTGCAAAAAATAAGGTAAAGTGGACATTCGTGCGCGCAAGACGAAATCCTTCCAAAACCTTAGGTTTCGTAACGATTTTAACATAAAAACATCAAAAACCCAATGGTTTTCTCAGAAAAAATTGTCAAAATGTCCTTCCGCGCGCTCTTGCGGATTCCTAGGAAACCCACCAGATTTTAAACATTTCTGTTAAAAGGGCCTTTGCGAGGAACCTTTTCAGGTGCTTCGACCTTCTGCAACAACGGTTGCGATCCTACGAGGGCCACCATCCCTTGCAAAGAATGACACGAAGTGCACATGCGCGCGGCCGCCGCGCGCGCGTGCCGAAATCCTGCCAAACATAATGTGATTTCAATAATTTCAAGATGCGATGTTCCGAAAACATATGCAAACGCAAGACTTTCTCATCCGAAAAATATCAAAATCCACCCGCGGGCTCTTCATGAATCTTTAAAACCCAAGATGGCCCCAAGAGGCGCTCAAGATGGCCCCAAGAGGCGCCCATGAGGCCGCAAGAGGCGCCCAAGATGGTCCCAAGAGGCCCCAAGAGGACTCCAAGAGGCCCCCAAGAGGTTCCAAAGAGGCTCCAAGTTGGCTCCAAGAGGCCCCCAAGATGGCCCCAGGAGGCGTCCAAGCGGCTCCAAGAGTCCTCCGGGAGGATCCAATAAGCCCCCAAGAGGCCCCAACATGCTTTCAAGAAGCCCCCCAAAGCCTCTCAAGAGGACCCCATGCGGCGCCAGGAGGCTTCCCCCCTTCCCCAAGAGGACCCCCAGCGGCCCCAGGAGGCTTCCCCCCTTCCTCTCACGCTCATATCCGTAGCCATCTCGGATCAAGGTATCGCCTGTGTTCTTGGATCATGGCTTTGACGGCGAAAGACCTTCACGAGCAGTATGGCGCAGAGCTGTCCCGGCCTCCCTTGGCCGACTGCGAGAGTGCGTATTATTTGCATCAGGCGCTCGCGGCAAAGGGTATCAATGCCAGTCACCAGGCGTGCAAGACTTGGTGGGCCAAGTATCGGGTTGTGACTGGCAAGGTCAGTATTTCTAGCGCCAAGGAGCTGGAGGAGCAGCACGGGTCTGCCATCCGCCACCTGGGCATCGAGTATAATACCGCTTACAAATTATGCCGGGCGCTCCGACAGTTGGATCCACCACTGTATGTGCCAGATAGGGTCGCCACGGCGTGGCTACTGCAGTATTCATCGAAAGACACGCTTGTCCAAGTGCAGAACGCTGGCCATCTGGAGAGCTGGTATGGAGAACGTATTCGCAAAGACATGCCCGAGGGGACCACTGACGGGGCCGTCTTGAAGCAGTGGCTCCTTGGACATTTATCTGTATCTGCTAACGCCAGGGTATGCCAGAAGTGGCTCAGCACGGAGTGGGGCGCCAAGGGGGCACTCAACACTGCCCAAGCTGTGGAGGAATGTATCGGGGCAACCATCGAGACAACCATCAGGACAACCATCGGGGCAACCATCGAGACAACCATCGGGACAACGATACCTTCTCTCTTGTGTCCTCCCACATCCCTCAGGAAGTTGCCCTAAAGATGTGACCGACTCCTCTCTCTCCTTCTCTCTGTCTCTCGCTCTTTCTCTGCTTCATATCTATCATACGTAACACATCTACTTGTGTAATCGCCTTCCCAGGAATTTGCCTCAAAAATGTGACCAACTATCTTGGCACTGCGTACCATCTCACGTGTACCGTGTACCACATCTTCTCAGGTTGCCTCACACATGTGACGAATCTCTTTCTATCTCTCTCTCACTGGCTCTCTGTCTTGCTCTCTCTCTCTCTCTCTCTCTGTCTCTCTGTACTATGTATGTCATACGCAACAAATGCACCATGCGGGGCACATGCGGGGCCCAAACAAGTGATCAACCTCTGCGGGTGTGTACTCCACGCCAGTGTAGTATCCACGATCGTCCGCGCGCCACGAAGTGAAGTGTCCTGACGTCATAGGGCGGGAAGCTGGGTGTGGGTGGTTCCCGAGAGTCGTGTGGATGTTTGGTAGAGCTTGCATTGCCCCCCCACGAAGTGGGGGTATTGGCTGGCGTCGCATGAAAACCCTGGCACTGGGGAGAACACTGAGCGTTCGGGTAAAATGATTGTTGTTGTTGTTGTTGTTGTTGTTGTTTTGGTTGTTGTTGTGGTTGTGGTTGTGGTTGTGGTTGTGGTTGTGGTTGTTGTTGTTGTTGTTGTTGTTGTTGTTGTTGTTGTTGTTGTTGTTGTTGTTGTTGTGGTGGTTTTTGTTGTTTGTTTTGCAGACTGTTTGTTGATTGTTGTTTACTGTTTGATATTTGCTGTTTATGGTTTGCTGTTTGTTGTTCGTTGTTTGTATTGTTTGTTGCTAGCTGCTCGTTGCTATTTGATATTTTTTGTCGTCGTCCCACCCGCCACTCAGCCCGCGACCCACCCCGCGACCCACCCCGCGACCCACCCCGCGACCCACCCCGCGACACGCCCCGCGACCCACCCCGCGACCCTGCCCGCGACCCACCCGCGACCCGCCCGCGACCGCGGCCCACTCGCGACGCACCCCGCCCCCGCCCCCTCGCTCCTGCCCGCGGCTGCTGCTCGGGTGCTGCATCTGTGTACTCACAAGGGCGGCCTCGTGTGGGCCTCGGCACACCTCCTGCACGGCAGGCGGAGCTCGCCGCCGGGCCCGCGGCTCGCTGCCGCAGGGCGAGCACTGGCAGCTCAGCCCCTCTCCCGGAGCCGCCCCCCCCCCGCCCCGCTTGGCCGCCGCGTAATGGGGGGGTCATAAATGGGGGGGTGGCGAGCGTGGTCCGAAAAGGTACCCAAACGGTATCTAAACGAGCCCCCTGGGGCTCTGGAGGGGCCCGAAAGGGGCACGAAAGGGGACCTTTTCTGACCCCCCCTTTTCTGACCCCCCCATGAAGCCACGCCCAACCCGCGCGAGCGCTCGACGTCCTCCACCCGCTCGGCGTTCCCTGGGCGCCGTGCGCCCTACGGGGGGGGGGGGGGCTCGGCCCGAGCGGGGGGGGGCCGCCGGCGGCTCGGGCCCGGGGCGCCCCGAGAGCGGGCCCCCGCGCCCGCGGCGCGGCGCAGCGTCGTCGGCGCGGGCCGGAGGCACTCGCGCCGACGAGTGCACCCAAGCATGGAAAGGTGAGTCGGGAAGCTGCTGCAGGATGGTGGCGGTGAGGAGGCGGGGTAATCAGGAGGAGGAGTCCCCCCCCCACCTGCCCGACCCCAGGCGTCTTTCCCCCCTCCCTCACCAGTCTCATCCTCGGCCTCCTCCTTGCTCCTCCTCCTGATGCTCCTTTTCCTTGTCATCCTCCATGTCGTCCTTATGCGGCCGCGCCGTGGATGACAGCTTCGTGGAGCTGTTGGGCTTCTCCCAGGGCGCTCTTCGGGGTCACTGGATCTGTTGGAGCGGACTCCACTTGGAGCCGTCTTCGGCGATCGTGATGCCATCCTGAGGCCTTAGAATCCCATAGCAAGCCGAAAGGCGAGAGCGCGGAAATACTTCAAACAGCAATGGGTATTTGAGTGATCTGGACCTTCTGGAGGCGTGCTGGGCGCTGCCTTGGACCATTTTTGGGCCACCGCGAGGACATCTTGGGGCTGTCTCGGGGGCCTCCCGGCGCCTGCCATCCATGTATCCCCTCCCCTCGGCCGCTCTTGGGCTCCTCTTCGAGGCTTCCTTGGGTCCAATCCCCGGGGGTCGTTGGAGGAGGAGGAGGAGGAGGAGGAGGAGGAGGAGGAGGAGGAGGAGGAGGAGGTTCTGAGGGCCGCGACCAGTGATACAACCACTTCTGATGGGACCTGCCCAGGACCTTCCAGGGGTTCTTTTTTGGGGGGGGTCGCGCAAACGAGTAACATGCAAAAATTTGGATTTTCTTACCGTAGGTGCCACTGATCGTGGCTCCAGATATTCGCCCATCGGCCTTGCTCGATGACCATCGCTGCTGCCGTCCGCTCGTCGTCGCCATCGTCTTCGTCGTCACTGTCGTCGTTGCCACGGCGGCCATCGTGTTCGCCGTCATCACCGTCGCAGTCCCTGTCGTCGCCGTCGTCGTCGCTTCAGTCTCTCTTGGGTCCGTCTGTCACCTGATGAGCCTGTTTTACACCATCACCACCATAAGCTGGAGGGGGGAAGGAGGAGGAGGAAGGAGAGAGGAGTAGGAGGGTAGGATGAGAGGAGGAGAGGGAGGAGGAGGAGGCGAGGAGATGAGGAGGAGACGAAGGGATGAGAGGGCGAGGAGGAGGAGGACGAGGAGGAGAGGGGAGGAGGAAGAGGAGGAGGAGGAGGAGGAGGAGGAGGAGGAGGAGGACGCCACCCCCTGCAACTTATGGTGGTGGTCGTGGTGGACAACGCGCCCATCATCACCCCCCGCCCACTGACAGGCAGGCCCGTCCAGTCCGCCAGCAGCCGCAGACGCCGCTGGCGGCGCAGAGCCCCGCCGTGTGCTCCGCCGTGCAGCTGCCGGGGCTGCACGACATCCCGCGGGGGGTCCTGACCCACGAGGCGGCCGCCTCAGCTGCCGTCGTCCTTAGTGGGCCCTAGAAACGACAGGGACGTTGTTTTACCGGTTCCGTTTTGCCGTTTTTTTGCCGGTTCCGACGCCGTTCTTTTACCGGTTCCGTCGCCGTTTTTTGACCCGTTCGGGCTCCGGTTCCAATCCTGGAGGCGTTCCGGTCGCCGTTTTTTTGCCGTTTCCATTTTCAAGGGACATTTTTTTGGAAACGGTGACAAAACGGCTCTGCCGTTTCCGGGGCCCACAAAGCCGTCGTCGCAGATGTCCGCGCGCAGAACGGCAGCGGCGCCCAGGGGATCGACGAGGCATGCTGAGTTACGCGGGAGGGGCCCGTTCTCTCTAAGCGATGAGCCTGAGCTTCCTGCGCAGGTGACGCGCATCGGAGACCCTCGGTAGTTGGACGCCTCGAGGGGCACATGTGTGCGATTCGCGGTCCCGTAGCCGGGCATGATCATGGCGAGCGGGCCCTTCCCGGCTGAGGAACCCAAGAGTCCAATAGATTTTGGAGGGGTACCGAGTGGGGGTGACGCGCGTCCTTTTGCAATGCCCTCGTGCAGCATGGTAAGCCTGACTCTCATTCTGAGGCGTCTGCGCCTGGGCTTCTCCGGTCTTCGCTCTGATCCGATCGCGTCGCGCCGTTCCGAGATCACGCTGGAGGGGGGCTGGAGAGGGGTCTTACGACCCGTGCCCCTGGCAAGTCAGGCCTTCCCTTGCTGGCCGCCCAAGGATGGGATATGCAGGAATATTTCGGTGCTTTGGCCCCGGGAGTTCCTTCTGCGGGCGGCTTTGCGGCCGCAGCAAGCCGCGGTACGGTTGAGTCGGGCCTGTCCCTCTACAGGAGGAAGATTCAAAAATAGTCAAAGAATGACATGGGGACGATTTTTTGATTATTTTTTGGCTATTGGATATTTTCTTGAATATTTTTCATTATTCGTCCAGAACCCGCCTGTAGGGGGACATTCCCGACCTAACGGTACGGCGCGCTGAGGATCGTCCTCGGCCCCACTCCGGAAACTCCCCGGCGGGGCGCGGGACCTCGCCTTCGGTCTTCCCAGCTCTGCAGCGGCTTGGGCTCGCCAGGGCCTGGCTGGGGACGTGCTGCGCACTCTTCCTCTCTTCTCCTTTGCCCACTCGGGCCCAGATCCTCGCTGGCCCCCTGCCGAAGGCGGCCTTAGCCGTCCCCCCCTCACTGCCCCCGGCACCGGCTGAGCTGGCGGGCCGGGATCGTTGGCGGATGCCAGCTGAGGCTTCCGTGGCGAGTGGCATCGTGGTGGCGTGCAGGCGGGCTTGCTGCCGCCCCAAATGCTCTCTCCTCACGTCGCCGCTGCCACTATCACCCCTTAGTGTCCTCCGCCGCCGCCCGCCGCCTGTTCTGTTTGGCTTTGTGCGACCTGCTAGGCTAGGCTTCGCGATGTCGACGCCCCGCCTGGGAAGATTCGGAGTGTGTGTGTGTGTGTGTGTGTGTGCAAGCGCAAAGGTGGAGCTTCTGGCCTGGAGGCCAAGGCCTGGACCACGAGAGCGCACCGAACCGCAGCAGTTCCTCTGTGCTGTTGCCGTGTGTCTGTGAGTCTTTCTTTCCAAGGGCCAGATCTGGAACGTACCGACACTCGCCATCCAGGATGTGGTTTATCTCGGCCGCTAGCACCGCCGAGGCGAGCGGGATGTGAGGCCGCCCAGGTGCATAAGCCGCAGCCCCCCGTGAGGCCTCAGGGGATGCTTCAGAGGCCGCGAGGCCAGGAGGCGAGAAGGTAACAACCTGGCACTGGGTCGCCTGGGGAGATCTTCCTGCTGACTGAGACGCCCGAGGTCCCCGACCGACCGACCGACCTCCTCGTGCTCCTCCTCCTCCTCCTCCTCCTCCTCCGCCTCCTCCCCCTCCTCCCCCTCCTCCTCCTCCTCCTCCTCCT